CTTTACATATATTTACAGGATGAAGAGACTGTGGAGGACTTCGGGGTCCTTGAATTTGAAGAGTACGAAGTGGTAGAGGTAAGCAGAAATATTTATCCACTAGTTAAAAGGCAAACGTAGGGTAAAAATGAGGTGGTAAAGACTAGCATCTTATATTGACGATTTAAAAGCTTCGATAGACTAATAACCAGTATGTTTTTATATAACAGGTCGCTTTACCAGAAGAGATGCAAGAAGTGGACCAGTAAGATAAAAACAAGACAGGTGAGTTTTAGCATTTTGTTTACTGAGTCGAATTTAATCAGTGTCATGTAATGGACTCTCGTTTTACTGTGTGCTTAAATGTTTAAATGACATAGATGTTTTAATGGTCACTAGGTCCAGATGGTAGTTTATTGTCCAAGGCAGGATCCATCAAGACAGTGGCATATTTATAGAAGGAACTGCTGGCTCACAATGCACCTGTATGGAATTAATGGCACTTGTGTATAATGAGGTGAAAAATGTGAGGGAGTGGGATACAAGCGATATAGACACTGCATGTCATCCTTGATTCCCATAGCCAAAAACAGCAATGGGCTTGGAGATCCAAATGAGAAAACTGTAGTTTTGGAATTGAATACACAAGCTGCTCTTGTACATAACTTCAGAGAACTGACAGTTTCTTTGAATCTGAGAAACAGTAGTGCTTCTGAAGTGATGCCTTGTTCTGTTAGAACTTCTGATTTGTTTCCTTTTGAACTCCAATCTTTATTGATATCCAATCGATATTATGACGATGTGCAGAAGAGAGAACAAAGAAAAACGAAAAAAAGGAAAGATAAGTACAAAGACAGAATATTACGCTTTGCTCCATCAGAAAATCAACACCCAGAATCTTCATTCAACTAAGTAGAATCTTTTCCAACTTTGTTCCCAAATGGGAAAAATACAAAATACCTTTTTAGAAAGTCGCAACCACAAATTGGCATTAAGCCAATATGTTAAAAGTGGACTGTTTTCTGCAGATACCAAATTTGCCATGATGATGCAATACATATTTTACTTAAAATACATAAAAGAATTTCAAGATATTTTGTCTTCTGCAAAAATAAGTCAAAGAAAAGTTTGTTACATGCAACCTTCCATATGAAGAAGATCCATTGTTTGAAAAAAAGTCTAAATTGCAAATGCATAGGAAAAATCATTCACATGGTTGTATCATGCATATAAATTCACCTTAATACATAGTCCTATACATAGGACCTTATGCATAATTAATGTTTTGACAACAATACATGTTAAGAGAAAGTTATAATTAAGATTCTGAATACAAAATATTTCCTTGGATAAAATATATAAAAGCTGGACTTCCAGCAGATGAGACAGAACGAATTAAGGGTCTTAACCGAGGAGATCTCTTGTTGTCCTATTGATTGTGAAACTGGTGGAGACCTGTGGCTGATCCTGAAGTAGAACCATGTCTAAAACTCTAGTGCCAGGAAGACCAGGAACTCGCTTGCAGTCAGGACAGGGAGACTCCTCGGTAAGAAATACACCACCAGATGACCCAACCCAGGAAAGAAAATCAAACTTCTAGATTCTAGTATCTACCAGAACTTTTATATGCAAGCCCATAAATTAGATGAAGATAAGCCCCCCCCCCCCAAAAAAAAAAAAAAAGAAAAAAAAAAATTCATTTGAAAACAAGCCAGAAAAGCTTCAGAGAAACTGACAAAATTCACTATCGATGAAAAGAACATGTCCCTTTCAGCTCATCAATGTTTAGAGCTAGCAGGAGGGCCTGGAATATTCCGGGAGCATTTTAGCCAAAAAAAAAAAAAAAAGCTATGATAGTTTTAAAACGAGAACCAAGGGAATGTTGGATTAATCAGTATAACCCACATTTATTAGAAGCTTGGGATGGCAACATAGATATACAATAAATTGTGGATGCTTATGCATGCATTTGCTATATAGTGTCCTATATCTCAAAGAAAAGAGAGTGAATGGGTGAACTTTTGAGGGCTGCTCAAAAGGAAGCTATGGAAGGAAATAGTGAAACTGTTACTGAGATTGAAACACTAGGAATAGTATGTAATACTCACAGAGAGATTAGTGTTATGGAAGCTCTATACGGATGCACAGGCATGAAACGGAAGTTTTAAAGTCAAGAAATGCACTGTACAGCAGCAGATATAGAGGCAATGAGATTGTCTTTGCCTCTTAATATCTTTAAACACAAGGTAGGGAGAAAAATTTTGGTTCAAATATGGACAAAGTCTGATTTAGAAAGGTATTAGAATAGGACCAATAACAGAACATTTGAGTTATGTCCTTTGGACATTTTGTTGACAATTATAGAATGTATAGTTCAAAGCAAAGCAAAACAAACAAACTAACAAAGATATCTTAGATAGTGAAAATGATGATATTGATAGTTAAAGTAAAGACATTGCCTTATTAAACAACTATGGTTTATTAGTGTGCGCATCAGACCCATTGTTATTAGATATTTAAAAGGGTCAAAAGACCATGACCCAGAAAGATATTTTAAAAATAGATTGTTTGTTTAATCCTCATAGAGGCCAAGACATCTTACCTTCTGCATTTACATCATACGAAAGAAATGAAGAAGTTCTTAAAATATGAACTTTCAAAAATAATGAGGCAAAAAGATGATTAACCATTTGCTAATTTTCCTTAGGCTTTCCGTATAAAGAAAATGGAAGAAGATTGAAACCTTATGACAAAGCAATGATTCTCACATGTGTGAATGATCAAGTTACAGCAGATTCAACAGAACTGCATATTTTCCACCCCTGGAACAAAGAAGCTGATGAACATAACAAAGATCTGTAAGAGACACTTTGTTCTGACATCATTACAATAGAAGCAGCTGATATCATGAATTCAAGGTCAGGACCAACAAAAAGAAAGGTTCTTTTTGCTAAAGAATTTTTAGCATTAAGACCATTGATAGAAATTGCTATAAATGCAAGAGTTATGCTTAAAACAAATCTTAATGTTGCTGATGGACTTTCAAATGGCGTTATGGGTACTGTTGTGAAGACTGAACAAGGCACAAAACCATTAAATCAACCACAGTACATCTTGGTACATTTTGATAACCCCAAAATAGATGGAAATACCAGGCAACAAACAGTAAGACCTGAAAATATCCCTACAAACAGTGTAAAACGTAAGCCACATGTAGAACTTTTTGAACATCAGTCAGTAAAAGTGGCTCAATACCAATACCCTCTTAAGTTAGCATGGGTCTGCACTGTTCATAAAACTCAAGCGAAAACTGTTACTGATGCAGTAGTTTCATTGAAACATGTCTTTGCACCAGGTATCAGGTATGTTGCACTTAGTCGCACAACTACTCTGCCATGTACATATATGTCTATATATATATATATATATATATATATATATATATATGATCATCTACAAAGAAACAAAGAGGCACGGACTTCCAAAACTGTTATTGTATAACCTCCTCAGTCATTGCATACAACTAATCGGACACTTCAAAAATGCTAATTAATTTTTTTCTTCTGGAACATTTCACGAAGATTGATAAAAATGCAGAGTGATAGCAATGTTGGCTTACATAACTGTTATTGCATAACCTCAGGGATTGAGAACAAAAGGCTCAGTCGTTGCATACAGATAATCAGACAAGTTTCGAAAATACTATTATAATTTTTTCTTGTGAAGCAATCCATGAAGATGGATAGCAATAAAGAGTGATTGTCATATTGTATCTGCACCAGTGAAGCAATAAATTAATATTGCAACCAGTGCTTTGTAGCACACATGTGATTGAGAATTTTTGCACAGCCGCCGTTTTATGTCCTGTTGAAAGTTAGGTAAGTCTTTCTGTTAATAAGTAAGAACAGTGCATGGATATTTTACAGAATGTGTGTCTCGTGTTAGTCTACCGGGACAGAAACCTGTGATTTATAGGTTCTCACAGAGACCAAGATTGCTGGTTCTCCCACTTTAAGAACTATGCAGACAGACAGTTGTAAGACAACCAGCTCCTGACTGTCATTACACATGAGCAAATGTATAAGGTTGCAATAAGGAATGATATGAGTAGCCTTTTCTCTTCACTTTCAACCAGCAGAGAGCACCAAATAGGTTACAGTATCAAACCTTTTCCATAAAGGTTTCATGTTAAATTTGGTGAATTTTGGTAATTACAGGGCAGGGTCAGAAATGACCTGCCATGACAAATATTTAGCATTTATAACTGGACAGACAGGTCGATAATACTGGCTAGGCACAAGGTGAAGGGACATGTTGTCGCCCTTAAAGATATCTTATAAGTATCTCTTTGAACACAGGAAGGCCTTTGATATTTATGTATAAAATTTCCTCTCAGAAGGGACAGAGGGACAGGGAGAGTGAAAGAATAAACTCAGTGGCAACAGAAATCTTGTTGGTTGATTATTACTGATCCCACAGTCTTCCACTTCTATGAAGTCACAGTCCTGATAAAGGACAAAAACACTTTCAGCCCGTTCAAGATAACATCGCAGATATGTGACAAGAGGTAGCCAGAGCCCCCCTAACTGAGAAACGGGTAATTCAGGCCATTTCAAATGTGTAACTAATCATAGTTACATATGACCACATATGCAGAGTTATTTCAGACAAATTGCAGAGTTCTTAATAAGTGTTGAGAAAATTTAATGGGCTTCTGATTAATCTTATGATAAATTGCTCTCCCGAAAAGGAAACTGATGGCACCCAAACCCAACAAGTTCTCCAGAAGAGATGAGATAAATACTGTGGAAGAAAATAAGATACTAATGCGTAGTTATATTACCTATAAACAATAAAATGAAGATGAAATTAAATATAAGGAAACTAAAGCTCCCCCGTGTATCATGACTGCAATGTTAACCTCCATAGCACAATGGAGCAAATGACATTAAACAATGTGTTTAGAGCCGTGAGCAATAGTAGCATATACCACACTGGTGATCAGACTACATGTACATGATGTCTAAACATCAAATAATGATGTACATACTACAAACATTAAGTAAAATTTTGTAAAATAGTAGTTGTAGTGCTATCCAACCAGTGATAAAAACAACAGCCAATATTGCACTTAAATAAAGCTGACTAGCTTAGAAAATATTTTAGAACAACTCATAAATAATTAATGCACATGTGTGCATATGACTAATACCTCATCGTATATGAATTTTCTTGACCCGAGATGGCAGTTCAATTGCACTCACTGTGAGTGGCCACATTCCTCCAATAATACCTGCTTGTATAGACACTCCATATGTTACTGCCAACTCAGGGTCTATAGACGTATTGGGATCTTTATCAAAGTACTCTCTTATCATTTTTCTTACTTTTGGAATGCGCGTAGAACCACCAACTAAGACTATTTCATCTATTTCACTAGGTTCCATTTCTACAGTATGCAATACAGCTTTAACTGGATCTAAAACTCTCTTAAATAAATCTTCATTCAATTCTTCAAATGTAGCCCTCATGATTTTGTCTTTGTAAAAGGCCATGTGACCTGATTTCCTAAAGGAATGTAAGGGGATGTGAATAAATACCGCATCCTGATTGGTCAAATTTAACTTGATGTCTTCTGTCTGTTGTCGTAGCAACTGGAGATCTTCTGGATCTTTGAGTTCCCTCCCAAATTTCTGCTTTATCTGACGTAACAAATGGTTGAAAAGCCTCTGATTGAAGTCCTGTCCACCAAGGTGATTGTTCCCTGAATAGATTTTTAACTCCAGTTAATACCTAATATTTGGGAAATTTAACAGCAGACACTTTGTTCCCATATTAATTTTATCATTATCTTATGTACATTAAGATAATTATCAGATCAATCTAAAACTTGGTGCCTTTTCACAAACCCCGGCATGTTAACACCTGGATGATCACCACAGTGTGGATAGTATTCAAATTACATAAACTGCCATTACCTGCCATTGCCTGTGTAGAAAACATCCCTCCTTGTATATTCAGCAAGGATACGTCCAGCGTTCCTCCGCCCAGGTCAACCACCAGGACGTTATTGGTACCTTCTTTTTTGTGTAAACCATACGCCAGGGCTGCAGCTGTAGGCTCGTTGATGATCCTGAGGACATCAATCCCAGCTAGCCTGGCTGCCATCCTTGTGTAATTCCTCTGCATCTCATCGAACTCAGCAGGTACGGACATGACCGCCCTGGTCACAGGACTGCTCAGGTTGGTCTCCGCGCTCTGTTTTAGAGTGGTCAGGATCTGGGACCCTATATACTCTGGTGTCACCATGGTAACATTGTCCCTCTGCTGTATGGCGTACCTTATCATGCCGTACTCATCGGGCACCAACTGAAATGTTATAATTTTCTTTCCTTACTGCACTGAAGCTGCCTCCGAGAGGCCACATTGTTAAGTATGTATTATGCTATTATACTAACATCTCAAATAATATCAAATACTGAAATCATACAGTTGTGACTCAATCTTTTCAGTGGGGAAAAGTGTACATTTTACAGATACTGTATATATTAAGGTAATAAATACTATTGCGTGCATGTAGTAGCAACAAAATTGAAAAGCAGGATACCCTAACGTTCTATGCTATATAGTAAAAGCACCACAAATGTTATACAAGTGTATTAATTTTAATAATTTTGTGTTTATGTATCTGAAATATTAATGATTTTCTCCATTAAAAAAAATGGAATCATTACACTAAGCATAAGCACCATATGTATCTGAAAAATTAATGATTTCCTCCACTAAAAAAACGGAATCAGTACACTAAGCATAACCACAATATGAAGGGAAAGGTTAATGGTAACAGCTAACTTTAGAACGAAGAATAATCCGTAAAGCAAAATAACATATTCTGCTGACTTATTGTCTACCGAGTATTTCTCACAAAATATCCAAATCATGCAATCATAAAAAAGTGTCTGGGATAGCGCTAACACTCGTTAATTACTTAAATTGGCTAAAGGAAAAAGGGCTTGATTTGACTTGTTTTAGTCAAATTGTAACCATTTTGACAAAAAATTGACAAAAAAGTGGTGATTTGGCTGTGAGAAAAAAATTGCTAATGCTACCCCCAAAGCGTCCATAACTTTGATCATTTTAATAACTCTGCCATAAAACTCACTTTGAACTGATACCTGCCTGCCTCTTTGGCCAGCTCTTCAGTGCTGAACGCCTTCCCTATGAATCTCTTCCCATCGTAGAAGGTGTTGGAGGGGTTGTGTTCGGCCTGGGCAACTGCCCTGTGACCAACCACCACGGCCTTCTCTCTGAAATTGAATACGTTAAGTTTACTGACAGCCTATAGTCACGTTAAGATGGTCACTATGAAAAGATTTACTGACACTGAGATGATAAGTATGACCTAGGGCACACAAAAGAATTATTGAAGCACTAACTGGAAGCTCAATATCTATGAGATTGTCACTGAGTGACATCGTCACAAGCATCATAATGCAACAATGCCAATGCAACAGAGTTATGTATACATCCTGTGTAATTAAATTCAGTACATATGGCAGGTTGATTTAAATTAATATATAAAATTTTACATTTGTGTCACACTTTGTTTGTGACAAAGCTTTATAGTAGCTTTATCAGAATTAAAGAGAGGTTTATTTACGGTCCTTTAGTTGACCTCCAATTTTTTGTGAGAAACTCTAATTTGAGAAAATGGGAGCCGTTTACTCACTGAGAAGAAAAAAATTGTTTAAAGCAATTTGCTAGCTGGAACTAAGTCACTTATTACTAAAACTTTCCTATGCTTAAAATGTTGTATGCTATTGCTTATATTCATTTCTTACAGTGTAATCTTACACTAAATAGACTGGGATAAGTTCTTTGGGAACAGAGTCTGAAAAAATAACTGTGGGCATTCTCTTGGTCTTTTCCTATGGCCAGACTTTTTTTGCGACTTCCACTAGTCTGGCTTTGTGACCACAAATAAACAATATGTAGAAAATATAAATCTACAGACAAATAAAAAAAAACATTAACACTTACTTTTTCTACCCTTAACTATACAAATATACATATAAAATATCAACTCACCTGAATGCCACTACACTTGGTATACACAGATGGTCTTCTTTGTCAGGTATCACCCTCACCTGTCCAGTGACTGCATGATACACACCTATACATGAATATGTGGTCCCTGAAGTATAGATAGAACTTATCTTTAAAACTGCACCCTTTAATTTCACAGCTGTGTGGCTCCCAACTAAGATTTCATCTTTGTTACGTGCCTGATAATACGTGCCTTTAATAATAGTACAGCATTCTAAGCCTTTGTGTCTGATTCAAATGAGTCTGTAGATCCCATTGTGTAACATACACCTCGAGATTTTATCTTTAATTTTAAGAATATACTAGTGATTGGTATAAGGTTTAATATGATACTCAGTCTCATCCAATTCAAACAGACATGGGGTTGCACATGTAATTGTTCACATTTACCAAAGGTATATTTATGGTTAATTTATATACCAAGGGTTACATAACAATTCCCAGTAAAATTTTTTTTTCCTGTGAATGTTACACTTATAATGGTCTACAAAATATACATCAAAAGCCCTGTAGTCAGCAAATATACTAATTAGAAACTGCTCGTCCTTTCAATGCTGAAGCATTGTTCACTGTAAAAATCTACCCAAACAATTTTTCTTTAAAATATATTTCAGTACACAATTAAACATTTCTAGATATTCTTAAATGCCAGGGTTTTCTTGAAATGATAACCAATGTTAATTGTTTTGTCACAGCCTCTGTAACACTATAAATACCTACCTAAATCTATTCCTACAATCTTTGGCTTTGGAGGTGGCATGAACTTCTGACCAAAGTATCCTGCCAGCAGGAGGGCCAGTATGGAAGTGCCTAGAACAGAAAAAATGCTTTTCAGACAACAGAAATACCAGAATGATGGAGACAACTAAGTTTTAACATAGTTTTTAAACTACAGTTGATATATGACATCAGACTGAAAAAGATCACGGATGTGATTGAAAGCTCTGTCAGGCATAGCTCAATTTTTTAGTGTAGAAATTGAAAAGTTTAATACTTGAATCATATAGATGAGAGAGTATGAATATTGCTTTTGACTTACTAGTAAGGGACTGTTTTATAATTATAATTCTTTTGGTCCGATTAATATCTTAATACATTTAATATGCATAACTTATTAAGCACTATATCATCTCAGTCTGTGCCATAAACTTTCCATCCTACTGGTCATTCGGACCACCAGTTTCCTAAAATCTACTGGTCCGAATGTCAGGATTCACTAGTTCAAAAAAAAAAATCAATAAGTCTGGACATTTTACCCTATTGCGCTAATATTAGTAATAAGAAGAGCTTGATTTTATCGAAATTTCATTTTTTCAAATTTTGATTTCTTTATTTTTTATTTACAGTCATCATGTAACAGTTACGTTTCATGAGAGATTTTATCAACTCAAAGGCTTTTTTGAAAACTTTGAAAATCTAATGGCCATGTTAGACCACTAAATTCACACTTTCTGAAAACTCTCCTGGTCCAAACAAATTTTTACTTGCTGTGGGCGTAGGACCAGAGGCTAACATCACAGACTGTTATCTTGTAGTTATATATTTGAAGTTGACATACATTGTAGTTATATATTTGAAGTTGACATACACCAGTACTGGCACTAAACTAATTAATATGAATGGCAAAGACATTGATCAGCCCCCACATAACTTAACTTTGATAACCATTAGTATTACGATTAAAAATCAACCGAGTTCTTTCATATGGTTGTGGGAAAAGTTCTATTCTAAGCTGTTAAAAAATACATACATTCAAAAAACATTTGAAAGTGATCCCAAATTTTTCAAATATAAAGTTATCAAAGTAAACCGAAGTACAGACTTTGCGAATTTCGACTGCCAAGTTAACATATGGCGAATATGCGTCAGGCGGATATATTATAATTAAAATGAGCTGCTTACAGCTTTCATGTAACCTGCTAACCGGTGCTTTTAAGAACGGTTACACTAGCCAATGAAATATCTAACAAATATTTCCTTGTGCTCCCAATATTACTGCTTACCTAATATTGTTATTGCTGTGCTCATTGTCTTGTTCTTGTACAGTTTTTCTTGGGAGATTCATTTAGCGACACATCATGCTTATTTCAAACCGGAAATAAAAATTAAACCGGACATACGTCATTGCGCGAGACTGACCTCGAAATCATATGACCTTCTGAAAGATGGTGAGTGTGGAACTGTTTAAGTAGATTGTTCTTTAAAATTAAGCAAAACTCAGTCACTGTTTCTTGTCAGAGTCGTGCATAACTAAGCGTTATACTTGTAGAAATTATATGTAGGAAAAACAGCACTGTTATTCCGTTGAATTTGAGAAAAACTGGATAGACCGAGGCCTTGTCGATTTCACCGGCTTGTCATCCTTGGTCATGGTCGGTCACGAGACCAACTATTTAGATCGATATTCCTTTAATTTCCATCGAAAAGAGAGATCTTCTTTTTTAATTGATATTGCTCAATGGTCTTTTTGAGCTTTTTCGATATATGTGCTTATTAGAATGCTATTTAGTACGGAATTAACACACAATAACAGACAGACGTACTGGTACTGTTTCCCCTCAAGTCATGACTTTTCTCTGAGGTCTTTAAAATTAAAGGGACATCTTCATATTAGCATTACCAGACTTAGGTCATGGTGTAGAGTATGGTTTCTCTGATTGCTCAACTCACCTTTTGAGAAAAAGGGGATGGGATATGCCATATAAATTAAAGAATGCTGTCATTATTAATTACTTCTTGTACCAAATATTCTTTAAATGTACATGCAGGAAAATGACAAGTCGCAGCGCCTTCAGTATGTTTTTAGTTTCTGTTATTATTGTATTATAATTCCTAGTTGTTTATCAGGTGGTCAGTTTGGATCCTTTATTTGTTTGTTGTACAATGCCCCAGCAACCATATGTATGGTTATTGTCAGCTATGTAGAAAACATATTAGCTCCATAAGAGTTCAATTACATATATACTGTATATACATATACATAAAATAAATCACAAGAGAAATTCAGCAACTTGTCTGAAAATATGATTGAATACAGTAATTTGGGTAATTTTTGAAACATTTTATGTAGGGCATGAAGGAAGAAGTGTGAAAAAATTAATAAAAATCATACCCATATCCAGGGAGGCTAAGGGGTTTTGAACAAACCACCCTTTTTGACAGGGAAAGGTCTGGCTTAGGTAAACTTGATTTAGGTACACAAAAGGTATCTGGTAAAAGATCTGCTTTTTCAAAAAAAAAAAAAAAAAATGAAAAAGTGGCTACGGGCATGAAAATTTATTTCATGGGGAGTTTTATGCCAGTAATTCACCCCAGTTCTTTTGCTCAGTGTTTTTCGTAATGATTTATTTTGTTTATTGCCTGACAGCCATGGTTGGTACATGTGACATTGTATGTGTAAACTGTCATGGTAGAATAGGATAGATTTATGACATTTGAAGTTGATAATGTGAAGATCATGAGAGTTGGTATTAACGGGTACATGTTGTGTAGATAGATGAAATAGCAATATTTATTATAATGAGGGTGCTGGGGGAGTGGGGGGGGGGGGAAGGTAATACTTTTATCATATATACAGCTAGACAGATCTAGTTTCAGTTCCTGTTGACTGCCTTATCTGAAGTTATATATGTTCGTTTATCAGTTGCATTGTCACAAACATTCATTATCATTTATTTATTTATTTATTTATTTATTTATTTATTTATTTATTTATTTATTTATTTATTTTTGTTCATTCATTCATTCTGTTCATTCATTCATTGTCAAATTGAAAAAGTTGCCTTAATCACTGAACCATAGCTTACATTTTTGCGATTTGATATAAGTAACATACTTTTTATATGTATATCAGTAATTGTATGTTACTAAAAAATGACCAGTTGACCATTACTCATAGTACCATATACTCATCTCTGTTTTTTTTTTTTTTTTCTTAGGCTGGTGGAATGGAAAGAACGCAAAAGCTGCCAAAGCTCCAGGATGCAGACAAGGAGTCCATGATAGGGACCGTGTTTGCCGTCTCTGGACCTGGTGAGATATTTTGCCTAAAGAGGGCAGCAGCTCACAAGATGATAACCACTAAGGATAATTTTCTTTTCCAAATGAGCAATTTCTATATGGTTAATAGAATTGCAAGAACTAATTTTGCCATGAGTTAAGATATATTCCAAAAGGACATGTATTAGATATTATTATTTATATTATTTAGAGATACTTTATATGTTTATTTTATATTATATTAAAATCTGAGATACTAGTACTGTGTTGTCATGTAATCGGCTATTTCACAATCAGACGTACACTTTCAAAATTGAGCATGTTACATTGTCTCTAAGTATTATCAAAACCAATCTAGTGCCCACCCTTAGTCCAATCTCGAAGATGGCACTTAGTCGGAGCAATTAAAAAATTTTTTTTTGAAAATCGGACATAGATTGGCAAAAATATACTTATTTGAATCCCCTAAATACAGCTGGTTTTAGTTGTTACGAAGGGTCACTGGAGTTGTGTAATAATTTCAGGTAGTGGATATGTAATTTGGTATTGTAATTCATTGCATTTAGTTTGACTAAAGATATCAGTTGTGAGGTATAATGTTGTTTGAAAATCATTTGGGCATAATATAGTGTAACATATGAGACAAAAGCCATTGAATGTTAAAAGGGAGCTCTGTTACGGATTTTTCTGTTTTTAACATAGCTGATTTCAAGGAGCCCCTGAAAGGAAATATTATGCTTGACAATAACTTTTCTTCAGTAAAATGTGTTTTTAAAGGTATTTCAATACATTAAAAAAATTACTGTGCCCAAATCCATGTTTAGTTGAAAATTCCAACAATCCAAAATTGAAATCACATCTTAACACAAAATTTTGTAGCGTCCGTCCCCCCTGTAGCAAAAGGATAGCAGTTAATCTTTTTTTAAATCCACACTCAGGCACTTATGCATTTCACTACCCATGATAAAATAATATACCTAAAAGGCCAGTAGTAAGACACACTGTGGACATACCATTTGATTAGTGGTCAAATGTAGCGTCCGTCCCCACCTGTAGCGCCCGTCCCCAATTTGTATTTTTCGCTTTATTAAGGATACACATGCTGAAATGGATTTTAATTAAGTATATTTTGTAAATACTCATTATAATCTGTCTAATGTAGGCCAAGGTTGTCACTGACGCTTTGGTGCATTACTTGTAATGAATAAATGGATACATTTAAAACAATGTTATAATATGAAACAATGTTGTTGTTTTTGCTGCTGTGAAACAACACTTGTGTACTTTTAAATTGCTACATGTATGAGACGAAGTGACATCACTTGGTTATAGTTTGGACTAAAAAGCTACAGTATATTTTATCCAAGGTAATAGGTTGTAATTTGTGCATTTGAGCTTGGAACAATGATGGAGCAACATTTATGTTTTTATTGTTGGTGGGGATGGGTAAACTTAGTCAATGTACAAAAAGAAATGCCATGGAAATGGAAGGCATAAGTGAAAGTGCTTTGAAAAAAAAAGAAAACAACGAGAAGAACTCAAAAAAGATCCCGAACGTTTGAAAACTGCCAGAGAGAAGGACAGACTTAGAAAGAAAAAAGAAAGAGAAAAGAAGAGACTTTACTTAATGAATCACCCAATATAAGCAAAAGCTGAAAGAGGAAAGGAAACTAATAGAATGAGAAAATATAGAGAGAAAATCTGAGAACAAACAAAGATCAGTGCTTTATCAGAAGCAGCTAAAGCAAGAGAGAGAAGGAAAAAACACTTTCAGCCCAAAGAGAAAGAAACAGAAAGATGAAACTCAGTGAAGCTAAAAAGAAACAGGTCTTGAGGGGTAAAGCATGGAGACTAAGGGTTCAGTTACAAGATAAAACACCACAAGGTAAAGACTCAAGCCCGTTTTCATCTTTCTCCACCTTGAAACAAGCAAAGAATGCCCTTCCGAGGTCACCGAGAAGAAAAGCTAAAATTGTAGAAAGGCTAATAAGATCTCCTAGAGTAAACAGCATATTAGAACAGAAAGGAATTATAGCAAGCAAGGAAACAAGCAGAAAGTTGGAGATGGGGGAGACCCTTATTCAAAGTATGTCAGAGAATTTGTAATACTGTCAGAAAATATCTCTGGATACACTCCTGTTATTGATTTGTAAATGTGTTGTTGAACTGTTTGTATTCATTTTAATACAGTTAATGTTTTGGAATGGGGATATAAAAATGACATGTTTTGGTGTAGCGTCCGTCCCTCAGTGTATTACGTACCAAGTCATGAAATTTTGGCACTCTTAACATGTTTTAGGTATTTTATTATGTGTCATTCTTATGGTCAAGTCTTTGTCATATCAAAATAAGAGATTTCAAATCATTGATGGAATCCCCTGATTTGATCTTAATCACACAACATTTTATTTTTATTTGCAAAAGAAATGAGGCCATGCATCATGCAACCGTACATTTTGGAAAAAAATAGCTCACAGTTGATTGAAATTTTGAGGTTTTCATTGCAAGTACAATTCATGTGTATAAAATTATGCTTATTAAAATAATTATTTTCCAATTATTATGTTTTATTCATCACGTGAATGTAATTGACTTGTAAAAATGTAGCGTCCGTCCCCAGTGTGAGACCATCCAGTCATTTTAGTGTCAAACAAAAACAAAGAGAAACGGTGCAAAAACATTTGAAGGGATTATGCCCAAGATCTATACTAATGTCCTACTGATATTCAAACCTCTGTTTGGTGAAGTTCATATTTGGTCGAAAATGGACCACAAAGTGTACATCTGATTGTGAAATAGCCGTAACTAACGACCGAACTTTACGACTGAACTTAGCGATAAGTTAACTACTGCTTCGTGAAACACCCCTCGAAAATCGCTAAGTTTGCTCGTTAGCGAGGTACTGTAGTTCAGTAGTTAGTTGTTCTATCTAACTACTGCTTTGTGAAACCGGCCCCAGGGGCCCATTTCACGAAGCAGTAGTTAGTTAGGACAACTAACTACCGAACTATCTCACTAACGAGCGAACTTAAGAAAGGTAGCCGCCATATTGGATTGATCATGATATTTTTCAAATTATACCTTGGGGCGTACTGTGTACATTATTTAAACACAAAGTTTAAATAATAAACACAAATGTGTAATGTGCTAACAATACACTTAGTTTTTATTAAAAACAGGTTATCAAGTGCGCAGTTTTTCTCTCATAAAAACAACAGCCGTTTGTTTGCTTCCAATTGTAACTTGAAAAACGTGTGCGATGGTTTGTCTTACCACGCTGNCCATGTTGATTTGGATAATGCATGTAGGATAATGCTCTTAAATGTGATGATGGCAGGAGTGTCATTTCTATGCATACTCAAGTGAGTACCTCCTGTTTCATTTTGTAGTAAATTCCATCTCAGTTTTGTGCATTTATGGTCATTTTGGCCAATTTCAGTGCCCTATGTCTAGTGTAAGAAATCTGATAACAGAAAAATTACAGGACTAGATTATGTCAAGACAGTTAACCAGGAGATAATTGACTTGGAAAAATAATGTTTAGGGAATATTCATTAAATGTAATTTTTTGACCAACATCCATGCAGTGCAGCTCCAAGTCCCTAGAAAGTGATCTTTACAATTAATTTCCAGGCAGTACCCAGACAGTGTTAGGCAAGGAAGAGACAGAAGAGGAGTTGAATGTGTTGCCAGAAACTGAACGTCTGGAGTCCGGGGTTACTAAGAAGAAACGTTCTGGGCCCGGTTTTATAAAGGACATTTAGCACTAACCACCGGTTAAATCCAACGTTTAACTTAAACGACGTTTAACCAGGTTTCATAAAGGTCGTTTAGCACTAACCAATGGTTAAATCTTCTAAACGGTTGGTTAAATTTATACGCTCAAGGGAGGTAGTTTAAATTCCTTAACCGCCGGTTAAAAATGGCAAACCTGCTGCGGTTTGCCAGAAATCCTCGCAGATATATATATATATATATATACCTTTTAGACTGAGAAGAGACAGAAATTTCAGTAGAGATTTATTTGATTTTGATGGAGCAACTGAGCAAGAACTCATTGAAAGATTTAGATTCAGTAGAAATTCAATACTGTACTTAGAAAACTTACTTCACAACCAAATAGCTCCAGAGACAGAAAGGAATCATTCTTTGAGTGTTAGAGAGCAACTTCTAATAGCACTGCGATTTTTCGCCTCCGGTTCTTTTTTGAAAGTTGTGGGGGACACCGTTGGGCCCAGCAAATCGACTCTAAGTCGAGTGGTCAGAAAGGTGGCCTTGGCTCTGTGTGAGCATCAAGCTGACTTCATCAAATTTCCTGCTACACCCCAGGCTAGGGCAGGTGTAAAGGACGGTTTTTTTAGGATAGCTGGTTTCCCGGGATGTATTGGTTGCATTGACTGCACTCATGTGAGGATTCAAGCGCCTAGTGAAAAAGAGCCAGCGTTCGTGAACAGAAAAAAACTTTCACAGCATTAACGTACAGGCTGTATGTGACCACAAAGGTGTGTATTTTGTTTAGAAATTTTAATTCAAACAAATGGTCCTTACTGGCAAAAAAGTGAAAAATAACTGTAGATGAGACACTGTCATTCCGGCGAGTGAGCGGCCATCTTTGTAATAATATTGTGACACAGTGTCCAGGGAGTGTCCACGACTCGCATGTATTTAACACCTCCTCTCTTGGAAGAGAGCTAGCAAGGCATAATACATCAGAGTTAGGTACACTTCTTGGTGACAGCGGATATGCCTGCAAACCATACCTGCTAACACCATACCTGAATCCCACCACCAGGGCCCAAGAGAGGTTTAACAGATCCCATAAGGTAACACGGACATTGATTGAGAGAGTATTTGGAATATGGAAAAGAAGGTAACTAGCTGGCAATATCCACCAAAAATTGTTATAAAATTATGTTTGTGAACATATTTGTACTGGGGGCACATGCTGGGAGGGGGTTTCACAGCTACTTTGCTACATTTAAGAATGTACCAGCATGTGCATTTAATACTTAAATATTCCATTAATTTATTCA